TACTAATAATAATAATACATACATATATATATATATATATATATGAGAACATGAAAATAATATATATATATATGAAATAAGAAATTATAATTCAGTGGTAACAATGATTTTAATTAATTAACTATTGAGAGTTAATGATTATTAATGTAATAATAACAAAATTCCTTTCAAAATAGAATTTTCTCAAATTTTTTTCAAAAAAGTTTTGAGTTAGAGGACGAAGATTGATATCGGGGTCAAAGTTCATACTATATGGGGTGACAGTGTTTAAAATACTGGTCTAATAAGCCTCTTTCAATGGCGTATCCAGGAATTTGAAGGGGGCAAGTCTTAGCATTCATATTTGCATATAATTGGTATTTATTTTTATAATATCTAAATTATATTATTTATTTTACATTAATTAAATAAATGTTATAACATGCCACTTTATTGACATCACTCAGCTGCCACGCTGAAGTTGGAATTTTGGAAACCGTGACTAGGATTTTGAGTGAGCTAGATGTAAGTTGAAGCTAAAGAACATAAAACTGGGAATATTTAGATAGCGATATTAGGAATTGTGGGGAAAACTGGTGGAAAATAAAAATACAAGCCAAGGGGGAGGGGTATGACCGTATGCCCCCCCGGCTAGGCCAGTGGCCTCTTTCCTTTCTCTGTCGACATTTGAGTTAATCCCAGTTTCAGCACTAATAAGAACCGTAGTAAATGTAAAGGGTTATAATTACAGAAACGCATAGGTGGTACAATTGAAGGAGATACAATGGGTAACTTCAAACATATGGTTAACTTATCATTAGTACAACATATTACTACAGAAGTTTGAAAAGAAAACCTAATAGGTTGTACAATGCATCAATATTTTGTATTAACTTCAAACAGAGCAGTACCTCTTGTTTTTATGCTTCTCATAATCAAGTCAAGTTGTTCTTGGCTGATGTTTGACTGTCTCAGTTTCCATTAAATCCATATAACCTTAATAATGTTCATAACTGAGGTTTTGTCCAGTCCAAGCCACGGTTGCAAGTGTTCCATTGGCCTATTTTTTTTTCCTTCAAGTTATGGTTTCAACACATTTGCTCCATGTTTGGGATCACTTCCTTACTTCAAGATGAATTTCTGCCCAACAAGTCGTATTTCTAGGAGACTGACATGATGCATAAGAACCTGGCAGCAGTTGAGGTGTAACTCATTATTTTATATCCCCCAGCATGCTACACTGTAGATGTTGTACGTTGACTATGATACTGTTCTCTTCTCTGCCATCAAACAAACTATATATAAAGCTTTGCCCATCCTACTGTTTGAATGCTGATGCCCATTTCAGCCTTTTGGTTTGGTCAACTTTCCTAGGCAGTTATTTTTGCACCTGCTACACATACATTGAGGCAATTTTGAGCTAACGTGCATTTTACATTTCTGAAGATACATTCACACCTTTAATTACAGCGTTTCGAAGAAACATATGTTTCTTATAGAGTCCATCCCAACCGACGAGTTATGGTATTGAACAAAAGACCCTTTGACCAGTGATTTGTGAGAGACGAAAGATAAATCTGGAGTTCTTTTTTTTACACATCTTGATCGTAAATGTACAAATTAAGAGTAATGTAAAAAAAAACGTCTGCAGTTTCTGATTTTTATTATAAATGTTAGTTTATTGATTTCTAATGCCTCGCCAGCTTTCTGCGTTTAAACCATAACTTTAAAACTAGTACAATATGCTAATAGTAAAATGTTTCTTAATAAAAGAGGAATCTGTTGAAGAAGGCTTACAAAGCGATGGGATACACCATTTGGCAGATTTAATTATAATTTCATTATAATTAAAACAAGATTTTAAGAATTAAAAGCAGATATGAATGTTAGACTTATTTGTTGTTACTTTAGATTTGAACATGTATTTTCAAAGAGTGGAGATATACTACATTATTGGAAATTATAGGGTAACTTCCAGTTTTGTAACAGCAGTATCTATTCGACCAAAACATGTTAGGTTCATACGGGTATTTTATCAAGTATTGGGGCTTGAATGCAAACTTTGTTTTACTCATCACCCAAAGTGGTTTGTTTTGCTAACTTTCTCTTGGCGTGTTTGTGTTCCTTGTGTAATGGTTTCATTAGATACTCGAAAAATTTGGCTAATTGGTAATTACAACTAAAACGAGTTGAAAGTATAGATCGAAACATTTGTGGGAGGGGGTTCTTAATTCTACTGATTAGGTTAAGTCATGTTTCATCTATGTAAAAATTATCACATTCTATAAAATTACATGTATAAACATTTCCATGGTTGTAAGATCTATATAAACCTTGTATGGTAACTGTTTAATTTTCGCCTGGTTTTTGTACAAATAAAAATGTATTATTAACTTTATGCTGTTGTTTTTGTGTATTACACTCATATGTTAAAAAAGCTATAACTAATACTGATCTAAATTTCTCGCTTATATATTAATACCGTTATTCTAGGAATACAAAGACGCAGTTAAAAATGTTTTTGCATTTTAAAATATTTATAAACATTGTTTCATAACAAACATCAGTTTCAGGGAAAAAATTTCAAAGTAACATTAATAAAAGAAAAAAATAAATACTTAAAACTAAAAATAAATTATAGTGCTGGTGTTAATTTATATTTATTTTGAAACCCTATACATATCTAGTAGAAGTTATAATTTTTAACCATTTCAAGCAATTTTGCTTTTAATTAATATTTATGCCAGGATACTTCCACTGTTATAAATAATAATATATCTATAATTAACATAACAAATTCCTATGTATTCAGATTACATGTCACATGATTGGGTTTTAAAGTACAATTAACATCTTCAATATCACAGGATTGTGCTCTTTCGAGAATACCTGATCATTGTGGCTCCATCTCGTGGCAATCTGTTAAACTATACTGGTGTCATTATGTGACCAGCAGCTAAGCACCTCTTAAATCAGAAATAAGCCATATGCTATTAAAACTGTACTTTTCGTCGAAATACAACTGTCTTCTTACTTCTACTGGAGTTTTAAAGTTCTTTCTTATATATTCGAGAATACGTAGAAAGAAACTTCTTTCTCATTAGATGTCGCTACTGAATATGCACAATATGAACTATTAATTATAAAAGTTACAAAGCAGGGAGCCAGCTGTACGTTATCGATCTTTACACTTTACATTATCTTCATTATAGCACCCCTACGGCTGAAAGAACGAACATGCTCGGTGACGCGATTCGAACCTGCGCCCCACACATTGAAAGTCGAGTGCTCTAGCCACCAGGCCACGCCAGGGCCCTCCTGATTAATAGACTAGACCTCTGGTATTTTATATATTTATTCATTAAGATGTGACGTAGTGTAGAAATTCCTTAATATACTAGTATATAATATCCAATAAAGTCATTAGACACATTCTTTTGTATTTGTTGAATAACCCTATCCCAGAATTATTCAAACAAAATGGAAGATCTCTTTCGAACTGTTATAATCAAACAATGTTAAAGAAAAAATGTGTTTGTTTGTTGTTGTTTTTAGATAAAAGAAAACGATCTTATGGTGCACTGGGCAATATTTTCTTGCTTGTTTCTTTGTTGTTAAGTACAAGACAACAGGCCCCCCAGTGGCATAACGGCATGTCTGCGGACTTATAACGCATAAGTGGTTGGCAGAACACAGATAGCCCATCGTGTAGCTTTGTGCTTGACTTCAAAAACAAAACAACATAATGGGCAATCTGTATTTGCCCATCACGGGTATCGAAACCGAATTTTTAGCGTTTTAAGCTTTCATACTGTGCTATAGCTATTGTGGGCTACTGGTCAAGAAAGAAGTTAATAACCGTCATATCTATATCTTTGGTTTTCTTTTAAATTTTATCAGGCTGTATTTTAAAATTCCTCCTAATAATTAATTTTTGGAGTATTTTGCATTGTAATATGAGCATACTGTACTTAAAAATATTTCTTAATGTACAAAATGAAAAGTTTTTACAGCAATGCTAAAAATAACCTCTCACAAATATTGTAATGCTTTCGAAGGGATGACTTTTGTTACAAATCTTACGCGGTTTAAAATAATCCTGTATTAACAAAAGTCAAAAATATGATTTTCATTTTTTTCAGCCGTTCCATTCATGGTTATAAAGACTCATGTACTCCAATAGAATGAATTCTATAAATACCAAAAAGTAAGATACCCTTCAACTATTGTTATTTTTTTAGAAAGAAATATTTGTACTTAAAATATTTTATATATTATACCGTTTAAAACTGTTGTTTTTTGCGTGTAATAAATTTATAAATAAACCTAATCCTACAGAACAATTATATACAAAATGAAGTCTTCCTAAAAAAATCGTAATTAATATATTATATCGTGGAAGTAGCTAATAGATATTTCAGTACAAGACTAATCACTCTTTCCTCAAGAGACTGTTGCCATTAGATTATATATGCTTATTTTTATTCTCATGTTTTCCTATCACATCTTACTAATATACTTGTAGATGATAGTACCCTCTTGCACACACACACTTATATATGTAAAAAGAAAATTCCTTGATAAAAAATTGAGTGTATAATATAACAAAACAAAGTAGTGCTATCTATTTTTTCCTTTTTTTTTCATCGAGTATCTTGCAGACTACCCGCGAATTGCAAAGTTTTTAATCACTTCTTAAAATCTGATTTAGAAAAAAATTTAACTAGTACATCGTATTTAATATTATAAAATTAATGTTTCATTGTTTAATCTTTTCAGATTCGGGATTGTCGTTTTCCAGCACTAGAACGAAAATATCTGTTAATGGAAAAAGAGCAGCTTTAATGTATTAATGACCACACATCAACACTGCAAGGTTCTAAAGACATACCCAATTCTGCACAACTGCGAAGAAGGAGTGAAGGCAAGAAGAAAAATAAGACTTAAATACTACATGACGGAGAAACACTTAAAAATGAACAAATCAAATGTCGGCCAAGCTTGGAGAAAAACTGTTATAAACATAGTAAACCAGATTGTAGAAAAGAGAGGGGTAGTATAAAACAAAATCTCTTCACACATAAAAAATTCAAAGAAGATTTAAAGCCCTGTACAAAATACTCCAAAACATTTAGATGTTTTGAACAAGAAAAAGAAATGAGAATCCTTCTGACTTAAAAGCAAACCACAAGAAAGGCAATATGAAAGAAAATTATTTTTTTAAGAATTAAAAGAGTCAAGTACGAGTTCTTTTTTTTCCAAAATATGAAACTAATCAAAACGTAACAAACGTTGTTCAAATGGAAGGTGATAAAAAGGACGAAGAAACTCTTGAAGTTTCAGTAAAATCATTGAAACGTGATGACAAAAAAGATTCAGATAGCAAAAAAAGTGACAAAGCATTATCAAAAGCTATCGAAGAAACCAGTGACCTACAGAACATCGACGCAGACACCGAGAGAATTCTAGAAGCAGAAGCTGCTTTAAGAAGTCTCTCTGGAAATATAGAAGAATCTGAAAAAGGGACTTGTTTTGGAGAAACGGACGAAAATCTAATGTTTGAAAATCTGTTTGAAAAGAAAGAAGATGAAGTCGCGCAAATAAAATGTTTGACGCGCTCGAGCTCTTGGAAAGAGGTTGTAACACTGAGTGCCTCTTCTTGTAGTAGCAGTGACAGATCTCCAATCCAGTCTCCAGTGCTTTTATACCCTGATTTTGGAAGTAAACAAGAAGCAAGCTACCAAGAAACTGATGGTAATAAAGATACCCAACTCGATGATACAGAAACCATTTCAACGTTTAGAAATGGAATTAAAGCTTTGAATAATGAAGACATTGAACCTGAGGTTGAACATCATGCTGACGCTGAACCAATAGATATTTATGATGTGGAAAATCTACTAAAAATTGAAGAAAAATGCGCAACAATACAGTCGATTCCTAATTCTTTCAGAGAGGAAATTTTAACGAACGACCTGAAACAAGAAACACCAGAAAATTTTGAAAAAGGTGTACAAATTAAAAAACAAGAAATCATGTCCTCACATCTTACGTTTGATAATGTCCATCACGCTCATTCTGAGCATATTGAAAAAAGTTTGTCACATCTAACGCCAGCTAAATATTTTCCAGCAACGGATCATATCTCAATGCATGTTAAACAACCAGATAGTTATAACAAACCTCTTCTGGGAAAACCTTTGCTACAACCAATAAAATTAAGCCCTATATGTCCAAATTTGCAAACAAATCTGATGGAAAATTCTGATCTACTAACAACAGATGACAATAATTCCAACCACAGTCATATCCCTTTCCATTCCTCTCCCTTGAAGAGTGTTCGGACGTCATCTTCTGAGTCATTTTTGCCATCTTCAAACGACTACCCTGCCCGAGATTCTCCATACGTTTCAATGTATACTGCTTGTCCTAAAAATGACATATGCCTCTCAACCTCACCTATCAACTACCTGTCATCGTCTAATGTTCTTCAAACATCCACCTCATTCCCATTTTCTCAACATGATACCCTAAGTCCAGCATTGTCACATTCATCTCTATTTGCAACCAAAATTTACGGTTCTGATCAAACGAATTCCAGCCGTACTGATGAAGATTCGTGTACTTATGTTTCGGCATCTCAAGTAATAAGACCAAAATCACCCACAGATTACTACACGTCGGTTACTATTTCAACCCCTTCTCCAACAATTAGAGAAGAGATTGGTAAAGAGCCAAAGCAGAACAAGTGTTATACATTTCTAGAATCAACGCTGAATACGTCATGTGAGAGATTATCTATAATGGACGACCATTTACTCCCTTTATCAGATGACGAGAATCCTCTCGTTATAGATGAAGATGATAACCCTGAGTCTCCTCTTACCCCAAGACCAAGCACAACATTTTCTAGCGCCCCCTGCACACCTCTTTCAATCTGCAGCAATTCAGAAAAACCACCTACGGAAACTGATGTGAAATTCACTGACGAATATTTCAGAGGTAAGCAAATAGTGTGCTTAATTTAATTATGTGAAAAAAGATCATTTTAGTACAATATTTATTTAATTATTCTAAAATATTTTGTTTCTAATAATATTTTATCACACTTTACACCAAATTATTTTAAAACACAAGTAAGTCATTGAGCTGTGTAATTGTTCTTGAAAAGCTGCTGTAAAGGGGCCTAAAACTCACATATAATTTGTATTATAATTAAACTAAATTATAATTAAACTAACTTATAATTAAACTAAATTAAATTATAATTAAACTAAATTAAATTATAATTAAATTAAATTATAATTAAACTAAATTAAATTATAATTAAACTAAATTAAATTAAATTAAATTAAATTATAATTAAACTAAATTAAATTAAATTATAATTAAACTAAATTAAATTATAATTAAACTAAAATTAATTTAATTATAATTATAATTAAAGTTTATTTTAGCAATAGCTCTTCATTCATTTGGTGTGTTTTTTAACGCAAAGCTACACAATGAGCTATCTGCATTGTGCCCATCGCGGGTATCAAACCCTGATAATCTTAGCGTTATAAGCCCTCAAGCTAGACGCTGAGCCACAGCAAGAGATCTGTGGTTGATAATTAATTATTTTACTCATTAACTTATCTTGATATTTAGAGCTCTATCAGATAGATAAGCTGATTTAACAATAACTTTCTTAATCATACCATTCAGTCAATCAGCGTTGAACTGAGCCGAAATCTTTCAGAAAAATATGCATATTTAATGACAACTTTCTTAATAATACTTTTCAATTAATCAGCGTTGAAATAAATCCCCAGCGGTTCAGCGGTAAGTCTGCAGGCTTATGAAGCTACAAATCGGGTATCGATACTCCGTGGTGGGCAAGGCACAGATAGCCCAATGTACAGCTTTGTGCTTAACAACGACCAAATCAAACAGTTGAAATAAATCTGAGATAAGTCCACATGACTTGAGAATAGTGTAAGCAAGGGCCTAATTTACTTCTTAATTTGCCACCACTTTAATATACTTCCAACTATTTGAAAAGAGGTTGTAACACTGAGTGCCTCTTCTTGTAGTATCAGTGACAGATCTCCAATCTAGTCTCCAGTGCTTTTATACCCTGATTTTGGAAGTAAACAAGAAGCAAGCTACCAAGAAACTGATGGTAATAAAGATACCCAACTCGCTGATGCAGAAACCATTTCAACGTTTAGAAATGGAATTAAAACTTTGAATAATGAAGACATTGAACCTGAGGTTGAACATCATGCTGACGCTGAACCAATAGATATTTATGATTTTATCTTTGGATCCATTTTTATCCCATTTTACTGCTAATATATATATATATATATATATGCAACAACAGTATGCTACCTGATTTATTAATATTAATGGCCATCTGTGAACAAAGCAAAAGTTATTTATACTTTTGTTTTGTTTCTCATATCGTTATTTGTTTCAATAACTGCACATCGTGCAAAGGCTTAATGCACCCCCAGTGGCACAGCGGTATGTCTGCGGACTTACAACGTTAGAAACCGGGCTTCGATACCCGTGGTAGGCAGAGCACCGATAACCCATTGTGTAGCTTTGTGCTTAATTACAAACAAACAAAGGCTTAATGTGTTATAACGACGTAGCTATGTTTAATTACCCTCCCTTGATCTTAGAAATATAGTTTAAAATCATGATACAGCTTGATTTAGTTAGTCACGCAACGCAAATCTGAAGAAAGACCAACCAACTGAAAATTTAAGTCAGTATTGTTTAGATGTGTGTAATTTCATGTTCAGGTGATTAACAATTTTCCCGCTGTTAAATAAATCCGATTCAGGTAACTCGAAACCTAAAATTCACCACGACAACAGCAGGTTATGAAAAACTCGTGAAAACATTTAAGAGAATTTATAACAGCAGCTCAAAGTTTATACATATTATTCTGATGTCGAATTTAGTGGAGTAGAAGTTTACAAATAAACATTTCTTTCTTACAAAATAAAACTCTTATTAAACGATTTTGAGTCTAATATATATATATATCAAACCATAGCCATAAAGGCTGTTGAGTTATACTGTGTACGATATCAAACCATAGCCCTAAAGACTGTTGAGTTATATTGTGTACGATATCAAACCATAGCCCTAAGACTGTTGAGTTCTATTGTGTACGATATCAAACCATGGCCCTAAAGACTGTTGAGTTATATTGTGTACGATATCAAACCATAGCCCTAAGACTGTTGAGTTATATTGTGTACGATATCAAACCATGGCCCTAAAGACTGTTGAGTTATATTGTGTATGATATCAAACCATAGCCCTAAAGACTGTTGAGTTATATTGTGTACGATATCAAACCACGGCCCTAAAGACTGTTGAGTTATATTGTGTATGATATCAAACCACGGCCCTAAAGACTGTTCAGTTATATTGTGTATGATATCAAACCATAGCCCTAAAGACTGTTGAGTTATATTGTGTAAGATATCAAATCATGTCCCTAAAGACTGTTCAGTTATATTGTGTACGATATCAAACCATAGCCCTAAAGACTGTTGAGTTATATTGTGTACGATATCAAACCACGGCCCTAAAGACTGTTCAGTTATATTGTGTACGATATCAAACCACGGCCCTAAAGACTGTTCAGTTATATTGTGTACGCCGTATACGAATATCGCTCACTTTATTGTGACGTAATTATTTGGTGAGGTGGTTAGAAAACAAACGAGTGTAAACAAGAAATACTTATTTACACAAACACACTGTGTATAATTAAAACTATACTGTTTCTTATTAAAACACACCTTTCTGAAGCTTTTCCGAGATAGTTACTTGTTTCCCCCGAACTTATAGGGTGTTTCTCCTACACTTCTGTCTTTGTCAAGATGTTCCCTGCACTTCTCTCTTCGTGAGAATGTTTCCCCTACACTTCTGTCTTTGTCAGGATGTTCCCCTGTACTTCTCTCTTCGTGCGAATGTTTCCCCTACACTTCTGTCTTTGTCAGGATGTTCCCCTGTACTTCTCTCTTCGTGCGAATGTTTCCCCTACACTTCTGTCTTTGTCAGGATGTTTCCCTGCTCTTCTTTCTTCCGAGAATGTTTCCCGTGCACTTCTGTCTTTTTGAGGTTGGTTTCCCTGCATTCTGAATTCGTGAGGTTGTTCCTCCTGTACTCCTGTCTTCGTTATCGCGTTTGAATATATCGTTGATATTCATAAGAAAATGGGATTTTATTCCAAAGAGTATAAAATAGACATTTCAATAAGTTTAGGTGAATTATGTCTGTTAGAAAAAGAAAAACTGGCTCTTTATTTTTACTGTTATGCAGTCAGACGAATGTGTGTTGAAACTGCTGTTAAAATATGGATGCAAGTACTCGAAACAAGTGACAATGGGGTGTTATAAACATGGCTTTGTTTTGTTCCTCATTTCAGTTAAAGCATTTGATATGTTATATGGTGATATAAACATGATTTTGTCTTGTACCTCATTTCAACGAAAGCAATTGGTATGTTATATGGTGTTATAAACATGATTTTGTCTTGTACCTCATTTCAACGAAAGCAATTGGTATGTTATATGGTGTTATAAACATGATTTTGTCTTGTACCTCATTTCAACGAAAGCAATTGGTATGTTATATGGTGTTATAAACATGATTTTGTTTTGTACCTCATTTCAACGAAAGCATTTGGTATGTTATGTGGTGTTATAATCATGACTTTGTTTTGTACCTCATTTCAATGAAAGCATTTGGTATGTTATGTGGTGTTATAATCATGACTTTGTTTTGTACCTCATTTCAATGAAAGCATTTGGTATGTTATGTGTCTCCTCATTAAAGGCACTCAATCTGATCTAACCTATCTCATCAGAACTTATCCTTTCTGAATTTTAGTAATAGTTCAGCGATGACTTTAACATAAAATACATGGCTCGAAAGTTAAAAATTGGGAAAGTTTATAGTAGATTTCAATGAAAAGAACCAAAACTATTTGTAATCAAAATAACGTATAAAAAATGCTTTACAATGTAAAAAAGTGAAATAAATGAGTATTTATGTGACACACTTGGTAACCCGTGAAAATGTCAAATATTCAGCAGATATCCATTAGGCTGTTGCATTGTTCATTACTGTTGTAAAGATGTTTTCGTTTTAGCATTGATTGATGTACCTCTACGTTAATAAAATTACTAAGTCATTAAGTACCACGCACATCAGTAAGTTACAATAATATTCTGGTTGTACAAAAGAGAGAGCTTCCTACGAACACTAATGAAGAGAGCGGGTTTGTTAATTGGATTATAACAAATTAATACTTGAAATGCTCAACCAATGGAAGGAACGCAATTGCATATGACAATGGGAAACGTCATACCTAGTTGTTTGCATAGCCACGTATTTGGTTTGGCAGGCTAGTGTAAAGGTTACAGGGCAGCCTTCTGCATCAGAGTTCTAGTTCTGGCTAGCCACTCATTAAGAAGGTCGTGAATACCTCCTGCTGTCAACGCGTAATGATTTCCTCGAGCATTGGGGAGTCGCTGTATGGGTTTAAGCTATTGTGGATGCTTCTGGAAAAGGGATATAAAGGTAAAAGTTAAATATGTTTTGAGCTCTTCAAAACAGGCGTCACGTATTCCTTAACATGTGATAAAATGTATTTGTATTTCTAAGATTTGAAACGCGTGCTATATTAACCTTATGTTTATTTTTCGTGTATATTTGTTTAGAATTAAATAAATGATGCAACGTTTTGAGCTCTTATTTACGTTCTATGTACTTATATTTAAGTTGAATAATTTTTTACTTCAAGTGAAGGCTTATGCTGAGAAATGGCAATGCAAAAGGGTCCTCTGCGTTATATGTACCACTGTAATTCAGAAACCTACAAATGTTTTACTAACGTTCCCAAAACCGAATAATTTTTAAGATAATACCACGACATTTTTCGAAATCTTTACGTTTTTTTCTGTTTTTATTATTATCTTATTTTTAAG